TCAGAGGAGCCGGTCCACCTCTTACACTTTTATTTTTGGCCTTTGAATACGTTCAAAGTGTTGTTTTTTTCATTAAAACAGCAGACTGAACCAGTTAACACTTTGACTCACCTTTACTGATCATTTTGACTGATTTGCACGAGCAGAAATAGATTTTTCTGACACACAATAATGTAGATTCCCTCAATAAGCGATAACATTTTCTTTTGTTCGGATGAGTTCAGAAATTTTGTTTTTTACTAAAGAAAAAAAACTTTTAGTTTGGGATCCTAATTTGTATTTGTGCTTCATTGTTAATTTGGGAGCCTTTAAAGCAAAAATATCCAAACAAAAGATTCTTAAGAGTTGATTCTCCGTAATATTATATTAACAATTTTCTCACAGACCCCTCTAGCAGGTGTGTATTTTGGGTGGAAAACATGGGTGCCCCACACTCCTAAACCTCTGATCCACCTTTGAATGGACTCAAAAGTATGGAAAAAATGTTGGATCCCTGAGAGTTACAGGAAAATACGTCAAACTGGAGGAAAAAAATGACATCCACAATAAAAACGAACCCTCCAGCTGTGTTGAACATCTGTTCAAAGGGAAACGAGTCGCCATTTTAAAGGAGACATATTATACCCTATTTCAACAAGTTAAGCTAGTTCCCTGGTGTCCTAATGTAATGTCTGAGACAAGCTTTGGTCAAATTCCCATAAGGATGAAGCCCAATAGCAGTTCAGTCCCCCTGCCTAACCCTAACCCTAACCCTAACCCTAACCCTAACCTTAACCCTAACCCTAACCCAAAACAGCCCCGTTCAGAGCGCTCGCTTTGGAGTGCCTGTCTCTTTAAATGCAAATGAGACACAGGCGATCCACCCACTTCTTCAGGGAGGTGTGCCCACGTCGGCACGCTAACGCTACCATGCTAACGCTACCACGCTAACGCTACCACGCTAACGCTACCATGCTAACGCTACCATGCTATCCCTCACGCTACCAGGATGTCTCCACAGATAGGGGAGTAAGCTGAGGGGGGGGCAACATGCAGGTGAAAGGCTGGAATATTATAATGAGCTAGAGCTAATGACGTCAGAAACTACCCACTCCTGAAACCTCCTGATTTATCTCCTGGATTCAGACTGAGGCGGCCCACAAAAACATGACTGAGTCATTTTTTTTTCACACTCTGCCTGCTGATAGACCCTCCACAGTCCCGAATGTACATAATTAAAACATGATTAAAAACTTGGTTTTGCATAATATGTCCCCTTTAAATAAAATTTATTCTTTCTTTTTTATTTTACAGCAGTGGCGTTTTAGGAGAGAGGAGCCGTTTTTAGAGGTGATAGGGCGGTGGTAGGGTGTTGGTTTGGGTCTCACAGAGCCACCCGGTCGTCAAACTCGCAGACGTAGTTCATTATCCGGTCGCAGTAGTGGTCCCACCAGTCGCCATCGTCCGAGGACATGGCCACGCAGTTCTCCCTCC